CCATGTAGTTAAAGATAAAGCCTGCCACCCTAAAATGTAAAGTATTTCCCAAGAGTCTCTCATGGACTCCAAGTCTGCTCATGCAGGTACAGTTCTCTCTGGTGACCCTGGCTATTGCCTTATCTCTGCTGCAGGAGGAGCTCCTCTGGCAGCACCAGCTTGAGGATGTTAGAGATGAAGATGCTTCCCTGCCTAAAAAAATGAGGGAAGGCAGGAGGAATTGTCTCCATGAACCACATGCCCAGGTGTTGGCAGGGAAGGGCTCATGACTAATCACACCATGGCCAGCAGCTGCAGGGTGACACTTCTGCCCTGCTGGGGCCAGGGTGACATGCTGACTGTCCCTCTGCACCTGTGCTGCTGCTGCAGGCCCTGCTGAGTTGCCCCAAAGGAACAATGCACTGAGGAGACCCTGAAAGGTTAAGGTTGGACCACATGGGGATGGCAGATTGCAGAAAATGGAGGCATGGTGGAGTGGGTATATTGAGAATGATGGTCAGATTGGGAAGGCGCCAGGTAAGGTACACAGTGTTATAGGTATTGTCTGCTATAGTATTGGTTGCATATTCCTGACTTCATCATACATCAGAAGTAGCCCAGAATGGTGGTGGTCTCTATCCATGGAGATATTCAAACCCCACTGAACATAGCTCTCAGAAACCTACCATTGGCTTGAGCAGGGGAATTAGACAAAATGACTTTCAGAGGCGCCTTCCAACCAGCCATTCTGTGATTCTGTCACCTCAGGCCTAGGCTGCCAAATCTCCATCTCTAGAAGTTAGGCCTTCCTCCCTATCCTTAAGAAATCCTACTGATGTGAGGAATGTCCTTCATGACATATTGTGCAATCCTCAGACTGGCATTTCTCTCAATGAAGACAGTTCAATTTCAGTAAAGTTCTTAAATTCAAAAACTCACAGCATATCCTGAGTTGGAAGGGATCCATGACGACCACTGAAGTCTAAATCCTGGCCCTGCACAGGACACGCCAAGAATACACCATGTGCCTGAGGGTGCTGTCCAAATAATTCTTGAACTATCAGTCTTGGTGCTGTTCCAGCTTCTCTGGGGAGCCTCTACCAGTGCTCTGCCAGCCTCTGGGTGAAGGACCTTTTCCTGATATCCAACCTAAACCTCCCCTGACACAACTTCATGCAATTCCCTTGGGTCCTATCACTGGTCAGCACAGAGAAGAGATCAGTGTCTGTCCCTGCTCTTCCGCTCATGAGGAATCTGTAACTGCAATGTTGTCTCCCCTCAGTGTCCTCCAGACTGAACAGACCTCAGCTGTTCCTCATAGGCCTTCGCCTCAAGGCCCTTCAGCATCCTCATGGCCTTCCTTTGGACACTCTCCAATAGTTTTATATTTCACTCTTACTTTGGCACCCAGAGCTGCCCCCAGTACTCGAGGTGAGGCTGCCCTGCTCAGAGCAGAGCAGGACAATCCCCTTCCTTGCTCGGCTGGTGATGCTGTGCGTGATGTCCCCAGGACACGAGTGGCCCTCCTGGCTGCCTGACTCATATGCAACCCCAGGTCCATCTCCACAGTGCTGCTCTCCAACCTCTTGTTCTCCAGTCTGTATGTCAATTGGTGTGAAGCAATCCATATGGATATGTATTTCTTTCATGGTAGGGATGACACTTGACCTGAGACAAAGGGCCAGTCTAAAGTCTTGTACATCACTGAAACTTTATTTAAAATTTGAAGTTTGGACTTGAATGAAGCTTGAATATTAGCAGGTAACAAATGGCACATACTACCAAGAAGCATGTCTTAAACTTCAAGCACTTTATTTGAACTGCCTCTTTAAAAAATACAACATCTAAAAAATACAGCTTTGCATACACTATTTGACCACATTCAGCTGTGGGACTCCAATTTGGTATTGAACATAATAAAGCAACAAAATCAAACCAAGACAATCAAAAGCTAGACAGGTGCAGATCTCAATCACTGTCTCTTTGAAACAGTAAGGTATATTCCACAGTCCATGAACGTTGCTGTTTCTTCTACTGAGGGGGCATAGGTCTGTGATTTAGCTGCAGATAGGCAGGTGGTATCACTCTCAAACAGTGGGGGTCACAGGACACTAAGTTAGCCTTGTGCAGCATATCTCCACATTTCACTCAGCAGTGGACCTGATGCTCCATATTGCAAAATATAAATTAGTGTCCAGGTAGGGAAAGATGATAACAAACAAATCTACCTGACTGAGATCCTGACAAGGCAAGACACAGCATGAGCAGTAGCTATGGAGCTGGGACCCTGCAGCTTCCTCAGAGATATGTTCTGGAGGATAAAGCACCTTTCCCATCTACCTTCCATCCCAGATGGGGCAGCAAATGCTTGTGAACAGACAAGGCTAGAGGTCTGCATCCTTTGCAGAGGTTAGCACAAGACCCTTTTTTTCCAAAGACAACCTCTTGTCCATGGGGTTTTAATGGGTGACACATCACCCATCACAAGACAGTTTGACTGTAACAGTTCATCTTTTATCATACCATGTTCTAACTGCGTGTTATTTCACACTGCAGTATAAAATAGAGGACTAGCTGAGCAGGCTATTTCAAATGTAACTGTATCACCTACCTGTATGTAAGAATTTTATTCTCTGATAAAATGCATTCTTTCCAGCTCTTTTCAAATTCACAGGCATCTTTCCAGCTATTTCCTTAAAATAAGAAAGTGGTTAAAAGTACATATAGCGCCTTTTGAGTACTGATGTGCATTTCTCTGACTAACCTGCTGAGTTGTGAGCTAAGTAATTGTTTTATCTTTATGTCCAGGAGCCAGCATCTGTCTATTCTGCAACCAGCTGGCAAGACCCCTTGGCAAGTCCCTTCCATGCTTGAGAGACTAGCTGCTCTTACTGGTGGTTGGCATAAAGGCATATCCCAAAACTACAGATTGCAGTGACAGAAGCCTGAAGCTGGCTTTCTCCAGTGGGTACCACATGGCAAGTCTTGAAGGTATCTATAATTATGATAAATTATTAGGAAGGGGGTCGTATCAGGAAAGGCTACAGGGGATGGACATTATTTCAAAGTAGGCCTCTATACCATCCCATGGAAACTGAGAGGAAAGAGCAAATCACAGTGGGGTCCAGATTAGCAGGGGTATCCCAAGAGGAACACACTGTGCCTTTGAATACCTTGCAAACCTTAAAACTGCTGCTAGCTCTTCTGCATCTACGCCATTGTATTTGCTCTATCAGCAGTGTCAGCTCCAGTGAAGAATGAGCACTGCTGCTCTTTACCACTGTGTCATCTCAGCCGCCTGACATGGCTGTGAAAACGCTTGTCCGCACTCCACAACCTTCAGAATAACGGCAGTTCAGGAAAAGTACTTTGGATGCAACATCCAAACACACCACACTGCGTAAGCCAAGACTCTGAGTGCTGTATTTATGCAGAGGAACTATTCATATCAAAACCACTAGGTGCTATAGACAGATACAACACTATGGACCAGCACTTAAAATGATGCTGTTCTAACCTTTGTGGGTTGATACTGTGGCCTCTAGGCTAGTAAGACAGAAAAAACTTAGGAGTGACAACCTGAAATGCATGTGAATTAGTCCACTGTGCCCTGGAACAAAATACAAAGAAGACAAGGCTGATTTACTGGCTCATCCAGGCAAGCACTTTGCTCCTGAGCAGTAGGCAGAGAATTTGCACTCCCAGCACTGTAAGAAGCTGCAGACAGAGGAAGTGTCTTAGTCAGGGACAAGAGGTTATCTTAAAAAACAAGCTATAAAAGTTTATATCCTTTCCTATGACACAGTGAAATTTATCCCACATCACTTGGGCCATATAAACAAGATGCTTAGTGTAAACGAGTGGCTTGCTTATGTTAGTAAAGTGAGAGGAACATCTCAGACATCACATTTGACTTCTCCATCCATTGTTAGGAGAGAGCAAGACACTTTTCAGAGGTGGTTATCACTGAGTACTAGGGTGTAGATACTAATATCTATGAGAAGAGAAATGAAATCTTTGGTCCTGTCATTGCGTAAGTTTTCTGCTATCATTGCTCCCTGGAGATGCTTGAGCCCAGTCAACATCACTTATCAAAGCCGTCTGAATTTCTGCAGCTTTGAATAAGCTAAGACTAGAGGTTTCAGCATGTTGTCCAAAACCAGTGTTTTTCTGGTGTCATGTATCTGTGGGCATTGAATATGTGCACAAGGGCTATATGTGAAGTATCTTATCGAATTAACTGCTCTGAAATTTAAAAAGTAAGAAAGAACATTTAGATTGCTAGGTGAGGGTGTGTGTTTAAGTATGACTCAAATTTTGCTGCAGTGGTACAGCAAGATGTAGGAGAGGACAACTGGCTTTGGGCAGTGGCACTGCTTTTTCATCCGATTCTGGGGCGCTGCTGGAACCCGATGGCGGCTTTCCCGCATGAGCTCAGCAGGTCTGCCAGGCCATCACCTGCGGCTCCTCATCGCCCTGTGTTAAGGGACGGGCCTAGGGGTAACCGGCCCGGGCAGGGTGAAGCCCCGTACGGGCACGGGGAGCAGGGACGCGGGGGGCGCGGGCCCAGGGGTCCCCGGCCGGGCCGGGCGCCAGGCGCGGGGCGCACCCCTTGGCGTCCCTTCGGGGCGTTGTTCGCCCCCCCGCGTCCTTCCTGCTTCCGGGGGCCGCCGCGGGGAGGATTTGCCGCAGATGACATCAGCTGTGGATGCTGGAAAGGCGGCGGCGGCGCGGAGGATGCGCCGGCTCCCCCCCTTCCTCCTCCTCCTCCTCACCAGGTCCCTGCCCTGCACCGTCTCCGTATAAAAGAGCCGCCGCCTCCCCACCCGCCCTCACTCCCTCCCTGCCGCCTGCGGAGCTGCCACCGAGCGGCCCCTCTGCGCTCAGCGCCCCGGAGCCGCGGGGCGGAGGCGATGGCCACCGTAGTGGTGGAAGCCGATTCGGAGCCCTCCTGCAGCATCCCCAACCCGACCTCCACCTCGCCCAGTCTCTCCCACCGCTTCCTAGACAGCAAGTTTTACCTGCTGGTGGTCATCGGCGAGCTGGTGACCGAGGAGCACCTGCGGCGGGCCATCACCAACATCGAGCGAGGTGAGGCGGCGGGAGCCGGGGCGCCGCAAGCAGCGCCGCGACATCCCCCGCCGGCGCCCTGGCCCTCCCTGGGCGCGGCCGGGAGCCGGGATAGCCCCCGAACCGCATCCCGCCGAGCCGCGGGCTACGGCTCTTTATTCCCCGGGGGGTCCCGCCGCAATCGCCCACCCCCCCCCCCCACCCCCCCCCCGTTCCCCCGCGGGGTGCGGGCGCTGCGGAGCGGGGTGCGGGAGCCGCAGCGAGCCCCCTCCCCGCCATGGCTGGGCGGAGGGACCGGCTCGGGAGCGCAGCCCCCGCCGCGGAGCCCGTCTGCCCGGAGACACCGGCAGGTGGGCGTGGCACGGTCCGCACTGCGGTCCCGGTGCTGCTCGGGGCGGACAAAGGGCGGCTGGCGATGGGGTGGAAGGGCTGCGCTGCGCTGCGGGGCGGATGCCGCCCGCAGTCCCCGTCCCCACCGCCACGCTGAGCCGGCGGGGATCGGGGCGTTTTCCCTCTCGGCGGCAGGGGCTGCGCGGGCGGGAGCGCAGCCGCGCCTTTGTGTCTAACTTAGGGCGCTGGGACTTTTCTGTCGTCTGGACAATTTTTTCAGGACCCAAGTTCTATAGACGCGTATATGTTCAAATAAAGAAAACCCTTATGAGCAACAAGGCTTTTACCCAAGGGCTCAGCCGCGTTATTGTCCCACTGCGGGCTCCTCTGACTCGGCATTTATTTGTCCTTTTCTTAAGGCGGCGGTGCAGGGTGGTATTGCGAGTGAAATGACAGTTTTATAAGTTTTCGTTGTGGTTTCTGATACAATAGATTGCAGTGTGCATGCGGAGAGGAGGAAAAAAACCCCAAACAAAAACCCAACAAGCTGTTGCAGTATTAGTGGAATAAAGAATGAAGAAAATTATTGCCGGACCTTACAGTTATTTAAACTCAGTTGATAGCTGATTTTATAATTGGTAGTTTTTTGTTCTGGGCTGGTGAAAACAAAGATTTCAGGAACTGCCATTGTTAAGAATGGAGAAGAGATCCCGGAACGGGGAATTGGTAGCAGCCTTGTCATGTAGGTGTGGTTCAGCAGTCCAGCTAGGACTTCATCTATGTCTCTATTGTTGCTTTCTCAACCATTGTTGCTTTAGTTGGTTATTTCTCTGAATTCTTTTTCATTACTATTTGAGGGAAAAGGCATCCTCATCTCAGCTAACCAATTTCATCATAACCTGTTCATCTTTATTGCTACTATTGTCTCTTGGGGAGAGCTACTGAGGCAGGTGCTTTGTCATCCAGAGCTTTTTCAGCATTGCACTTCCTTAACTCTATCTGATTTTCAGTTGTGTTAGAAGAGAACTGGCTGCATTTTAATTAAATTGTCAAAGATTATAAAGCAAATTGGTAAAATTTCTTCCCTCAAGACAGCTAATACCCTTCCTCTGAAGAATTGCTCTCCAGTCTCTTCTTGAATCTCCTATTGTATGGTTGCTGCTGCATTGCTCAGTTGCTGCTATCTCCTGCCACTAAGCAGAACACCCATTTACAGGTTTAGGTGTTTAGAGAGAATGTTTGGCCTTTTAATTCATCATATTGGATTAGAAGTCACCTTGCTGTTTCTAGTATCAGACCGTCTGATTGAGATTTTTGCCTGCTAAGAAAACTCCTTGGTGAAATTTTGAGGTACATTTTTCTGGATGAATACAGTGGGAGTCTGTATTCTTTGTCTGTGTGAGGCAATTGTGGGCTCAGATAATATTTTTCTGTTTGGAAAGTCTGCTGTAGTCTGGAAAAAAACCCACTTCTTGCCGCCTTTATTCTCAACAGAGCTTTAAATGCATTTTGGTTCTTGATAACCCTGCCTTACTGTCTTCTCTGGTACATCTCCTGGGTACCATCAGTGAAAATTGTGGATTCATGCGCCAAACTGCAGAGCAACGTGTCAAAGAAAACATCTGCTGATAACACATCAGTGGCGTGATGCTACGCAACCTGGTGGAATGCAGAGTCATTTCTTAATATATCGTGGGGAGGGAATGGTGTGGCAAGACGCATTCTCATTAATTACATTTTGGATGTGACTTTGCTAAGGAGGCAATTCTCCAACCCACCATCCACCAAAAGAGAAGAGGGGAGTGAAGAGAAAGCTTCAAGATTTTTCCACTGATTTAGCAGACGCTACTGGGTGTGCCCTCCCTGCTGTCTGATTATTCCTGTGTCTAGTGGCACTGCACTCTTAAGACTGCATAAAGAAAGAAATAGCTCCAGTTCCGCCATGTTTGCAGCAGTTATGTCCACACTGCTAAGCCATCATTGGACTGACCTTGGATTTTTCATCCACATTTACCTTTGTTCTGCCCAAAACCTGATATAGTGATATCATTCATTTAATACATTTTGTTCTGCTGTAATACACATGCATAATTTTTGCATCCAGATTTCTGAATCATGCAGTTGCATATTTTGGATAGTCTACCCAAATTCCAGCTTCAGCTTTTATGCATAGGGCATAAAAGCCTTTATGCCCTTGGCTTTTTTTTTTTCTTTCCAATTTTTTTTGGGTTGAGTTCTGTATTTTGGACATTGCCTGGCTAAATCAGGCAATGACTGAGCAATCTTGACTACATCTAATCAGAATCTTATCCCTACCGCAAATTAGGATCACATCTAAAGCAGCTAGGGATGGTGGACCAGTCCTTTCATTAGCAGCATTGATGAATCATAGTCCGTGTTGTTTAGTGGACCTCCAGAAAGCATTGTAGTTTCTCTGCCCAAGCTTGGTGTCATAAGCCAGGGAGCTATTTCTCTTCAAGCTTCTTGAAGTTCAGCACTCATTCATTCAGTGCACTTCAGCTTTGTGATCAATGTCAGTTTCATAGTTATTGTTTTCATATGTGCTCTATTTGTATGGTATTATATCATCTTGGTGTTCTTGCTCTCAGATATTCCAGCACCTGGAAGATATTAAAGCCTGTTTAGATGTATTTGCCTGCCAAAACTTGTCCCAAAAATTTACCATATGGCCAAGTGCTTTCTGAGAAAACAAAGTAAGGAGACTTGCAGAAGTCTTTCTACTTATGCCTCTGAACAATGATGCGTCAGTCAGGAAGTGGAGGTGGCTGGTTATGGCTCAGTTATTTTTCTCAAGTGGTTATGGAACACATGGGCAATACTGTATTTTCAATTTTTTCTTGAGATTCAGATGGCAGCTACTTAATTGTTGGTAGCATGTTACAGTAAACTTGCTACTACCTTTACTTGGATGCTGACAAGGAAGAGCCCTGGATGTGTTCTTCTTGCAGAGGCTTCAGGCTCTTGAAATGCAGATGTTCATATTTGCATGGAGAACCTACTCAGAGGTGCAATGGGAGACTAGCACTGCAGATCTGGTTTCTCTGCTATTCCCTCTTTTCCCCTCATGCTTTGTCCCTGCAACATGGCTTCTGCCTAAGTTCTGACATTTATGCTGCCTTGAAACAGAAAATACATATAGCATGGGAAGTGGCATTTAAGTAACATCCACAGCCTGAAACCCTGAGGGAAGTGTTAATTCTAAACTCATTCTGAGGGCTTGGACACAGATCTCTTCAGGCATCTTATTGTCAAACCCCAAAGTGGTCTAATCCAATAACTCCATACAAAAGCATGGTCATGTGGGGAGGAGCCTTCAGACACTTCCTCACCAGCAATCCATTTTATGTTTGCCAGTTCATTTCTGTAAATGTAATGATGATTTTTTTGGACAAAAAGAGTGCAATTTTGGTTTTCAAAATGGCAGTAGTGCTTGGACTCACTAGTAGTGTTACACCCTGCTCATTATTTCAAAAGTAGAAGATTTTCACAACAGTTTCAAAACAAAATTATATAAAAATCTGAAGTGTATTCTTTTTTTTTTTCCAAATTGTTCATTAAAATCTTATGGAAGACTAGAAACTTGTCTTTTGGCTGCAATAACTTTTTTCCCTGGTCGAATTTCAGTCCTTAAAAATCTACTTTGGAATAATATATATTTTTTTGGTCATGTAAGTGTTAAGTGTCTTACTTTTTAAGTAGCTGGGGGAAAAACAGTAGGGAACAGAGATATGCAATTTGGTTTTTAAAAAAAAAAAAAGATCAAGCACAGCATTTTCAAATTTCAAAACTAGAGTTCTGACACTTCATAAATAAAAGATCACTTGAATTTTAATTTAAAATATGGTATGCTTCAAAGATACTGAATGAAGACGTCAGCAATTTAATACTTTGTATTTAAATATTAATTAGCAGCATGCTAGGTAATGCTGTCTTTTTCTTCTAAAAAGGACAACATGACTGAAGAGTCCTCTGGGTGATTCACTTCTGTTTTTGTAAATTTGTATGTTAGGATTTTAAAGTCATGTCAGGGACATTGGTAACATACTGTAAAGTGGCTACTACTGCAGTTCTAAAGCCGGGGCCTTGAAGAATGGTCACCCTTTGGAAAGGCAGGTGGTTTTTTTCTGATTCCTGTCAGAATCCTGAATGCATTTTAAAAAGTTGCTTTGTGCCTTAGAAGAAAGCGAGGCTGGGCTTGGAATACAGAAATATGCAAATAATTTGAATGCAAATAAAAAAGTACTCAATTAAAACTTCCAGTGCTCATGTGTCAAGCTACATGCATTTTGTATTTTGAATTTTAGGAATCCGATCATGGGACACAAACTTGGTCGAATGCAACTTGGATCAAGAACTGAAGCTCTTTGTGTCTCGCCATTCAGCTCGATTCTCTCCTGAAGTCCGAGGTGAGTTTAAGAACAGAACTGCTAAATTACACTCAGAAATTGCCTGGTGCAGTAGTTTTAGGGCCTTTTTAAAGTTAAGAAAACTCACCTTTCGATTGAACAGTTTCTTCATGTGGCGCCAATCTGTAGTCCAGTGACGGAAGCCTATTGTGGTAGGTGGTGTACACACAAAACAATAACTGGGAAGGTTAGCTCTATAGTGGGACAGAGCCAGAACTGATGTCACAGCTGCTGCACTTCTGCCGCTCGAGCCCTGTGTTTCTCC